TCTTCCTCTTTTTCACTGACCCTCTACTTTACCAAGCATGATGTCCTTCTCCAGGGACTGATCCCTCCTGATCACATGTCCAAAGTATGCAAGATGATGTCTTGGCATCCTCACTTTTAACGAGCATTCTGGCTGTACTTCTTCCAACACAGACTTGTTCATTCTTTGGGCAGTGCATGGTATATTTAATATTGTTCACTAACATCACAATTCAAAGGGATCAGTTCTTCTTTGGTCTTCCTTATTCACTGTCCAGCTTTCACATGCATATGAAGCAACTGAAAAAACCATGGCTTGGGTCAGGAACACCTTAGTCCTCAAAGTGACATCTTTGCCTTTGAACACTTTAAAGGGATGTTTTGCAGAAGATTTGCCCAATGCAATATGTCATTTGATTCCTTGACTGCTACTTCCATGGGTATTGATTGTTGATCCAAGTAAAATGAAATCCTTGACAACTTCAATCTTTTCATTTATCATGATGTTGTTTATTGGTTCATTTGTGAGGATTTTTGTTTTCCTTATGTTGAGGTGTAATCCATACTGAAGGCTGTGGTCTTTGATCTTCATCTGTAAGTGCTTCAAGTCGTCTTCACTTTCAGCAAGCAAGGTTGTGTTATCTGCGTATCGCAGGGTGTTAATGAGTCTTCCTCCAATCCTGATGCCATGTTCTTCTTCATATAGTCCAGCTTCTTGGATTATCTGCTCAGCATACAGATTGAATAAGTATGGTGAAAGGATACAAACCTAATGCACATCTTCCTTGATTTGAAACTACACAGTATCCTTTTGTTCTGTACAAACGACTGCCTCTTGGTCTGTGTAGAGGTTCCTCCTGAGCACAATTAAGTGTTCTAGAATTGCCATTCTTGCGATGTTATCTATAATTTGTTATGATCCACACAGTCAAATGCCTTTGCATAGTCAATAAAACACAGGTAAACATCTTTCTGGTATTCTCTGCTTTCAGCCATGATCCATATGACATCAGCAGTGATGTTCCTGGTTCTTTGTACTCTTCTGAATCCAGCTTGAATTTC